AACGGAGTGGCGGGTTCTTTCAAAAGGTAACACTGTCCCACACGCCCCAGCAACCGCACTCCTGGACGTCCATCCCAGGCCAGCAGAGACTTACGGTCACGGGAAAACCTGCCCTTGGGTGCTTGGAGCCATCTCCTCTGCAGCCGCCGGAAAGTGGAAACCGGAAACTGGAAACCGGAAACCGCCCAGCTGCCTTTCAACAGGTGAACGGCTCAGCCCTCTATGGCATGTCCACACCCCGGAACACGACTCAGCAGTAGTGAGGGGTGTGACTGGTACACACAGCAAGCTGGGTCACCCCTAGAGAAGGATGCTGAAGCACCCCCGTGAGCCCCAGAGCTTCCCTTCACCCTCGGTTAGGGTGGCACCTGTTACCGGAACAGCCAGCTGATCCGTGGTTGTCAGGAGCTAAGGAGGTGGTAGGGGAGGAGTGGGTGTGGCTATACACGGGCAACAGGAAGGGTCCTCGTGGAGGTGGAAATGTTTTCGGGCCAGTGGCAGCTGGATCCCAAATGGCCAACTGTATGGTTCGAATCCTAGTCCCAGCAGCTTGAAAACCATGATAGTTGAGTATGCGTGTGAGCCCCAAATCCCAAGAGGAGAATGAGGAGAAAGGATTGTGGCATGGCCATCCCCCCCCCCAGCCCCTCGAGCCCTCTGTCTCTCTCCCCAGTGAGCACATGTGCCCTATAGCAAATTAAAAAGAAAAAAGAAGAAAAGAAAAAGAAAGAAAGAGAGAGAAAGGCACATGTTTTCTATTGTGGCAGGTGTGATGTTGAACTGTAGCTTTTGCGAACTTATCAATGGGAAAAATTGGCTCTCAGGAGACATGGAATCTCTCTACTGTATTTCTTATAACTGCATGCAAACCTATGATTATCTCAAAATTAAAAGGGTATTTAAACATAAAACCACAGAGCCCGTTTTACAAGAAGAACGGAATGCAGCTTCGCCCCGGGAATATGCGGAGTTGCTCTTATTGAATTGTGGTCCAGGTCGCGGCCTCCCCTCTGTCCTCCAGGGGCACCCGCAGTTTGGAGACCCAGGGACTGTCGGATCCCCAGGGGGTCCCCCAGCTCTGGAGTGCTCGGGTTCCAGGAGACGTGCCGGCCGTGGGCTTCCGTGCCTCACCTGTCTGGGCTCCAGGAGGCGAGGACCTTTTTGTACCTTTGACTCCTGAGGCCGCTCACCACCTGGACCTGTGAAGCTTCGGGGCTGGAAAGGAGTGAAAAAGACAAGCCGGCCAAGGCAGGGGCCACAGCAGGGTCCCTGGAGCCCCCAAGGCTGTCTCAGGCTTTACAGTGGCTGAGCCATGCCCGTGCCATGCCCACACCTCTCCCTGCCACGCCCACGACACACCCGCACTCATAGAGGCTGGCCGCCCAGACTGTAGGCCGAGACCCTCATGTACAATCCCGCGGCCCTGCACACCAGGGGCTGTGCTGAGGCTGGCAGAGTTGCAGAAACCCCAGGACAGGGCAGGAGGAGTGCCCACACACTGCACTGGGAGTTGGGGCCCCTCTCCTCCTCCGGTGCTGCTACCCACTGGCTGCACAGGGGGGTACAGGGCATGCCCCTGCTGCGCTTCGAACTTCTGAGCTTGCCCTCAGTCAGGCTGTAGGTATTTCCTGAGCACTCTTCCATGGGGGGCTCTGTTCCAGGGCTGGAGGGGCCCCACGAATACAGCGAATACAGCGAGCTGGGCTCACTCTGGGGGCGGGAGCATGATGCTAAACCAGTAAACACGAGAGGGAGAAAATTGCTCAGTAAAACAAGGCAAGGAGCGGGAGTGGTGTGGGCAACCCGCCGGGTGGGGGAGGTTTGGGGTTTGAGCAGGAGGCAGCCATGGAGGTCTGGGGAAAGGCGGGTCTGGGGTGAGGAGAGCGTGTGCAGAGGCCCTGAGGTCCACACTAACTCTCCATGTTTGCGGGACAGAAATAAGGCTGGTGGCCCTGGGACCGAGGTGGGGGAGAGCAGAATCACAGGACCTGAGGTCCGGACCAGGGAGGGGTGCTGGCCCTCTGGACGTGGGAGGCCGCTGGTAGGGACCCGTCCAGTTTCCTTCTCCCGGTGGGAGGAAGCTCTGGAGGGGCTGACCTCGGCTGTGCTTTACGGGGTGAGGCCCGTAAAGAGACGAGCATGACGCAGGGAAACCCTCCCTGGGGAAGAAGGTGGCACGGATCCCACAAGCCACCCCAGGAAGTGCTGCGTCTCCGCACGACCTTGAGCCGCCCCACGTCCCAGCTTGTGTGTCCAGCCCAGCCGCTGCCCGTAGCCTAGACCTCCGAGGGGTCCCACAGACGCGGTCATGACAGCAGTCCCAAGGGCTATCCCTGTGGTCACTGTCCAGACGTTTCAGCAGCTGGGTGGAATTCGGGCTTATCGATCAGGGTCCTCCCACATGAGGGTTCTCACAGGGTCCACTGAGGTGCCACATGTGCCCTGCAGTGCCACCTCCTCCCATGGCCCAGTCTGGGTGCAGACCGGAGGGATACCCTGGGGCTCTGCCAGGTGTGGCCTCATGCCCGTGAGGGTGCCACGGAGCTGGGTGGCCCCCCTATGCCAGTCCCTCCCCATTCCCCTCCACCATCTTCCAGGTGGGCCCCCGATGGGACTCCAGTCCCCATGCTGGGGAGAGACAGCATGTGTGGCCTGCTGCCTCCTGCCTCTTCCTGGTGAAGCTTAGACTAAGGCTTCCGATGGCCCCTGGTTGGGCTCCGGGTGTGGTGGCCTTGGGGAAAGCTCCGGCCGTCTAAGCCCCAGGTGTCCACTCATAGTGATGAAGGATGGCTATCTCCCACGGCCTGACCTTGGCCGACCTGGGATGGCTGAGCGGCTGGATGAGTGGGGGAATGGCTGCATAGAGGAATGGGTGGGTGTGTCTATGAATGCAGGAGTACCTGGGAGGGACAGGGGAGGGAGAGGGAGAGGGAGGGAGGGAGGGGGAGAGGGCAGGTGGGTAAGCGTGCACAGGTGAAAAAGATCGAGGGCTGGTGTCGGCTGGTGGCTCTGCAGGGCTGACCCCACGCAGGAAGGTTCTGGGTTTGCTTCCAGAGACCTCCCAAGTACACTGGGGACACCCATGCCCTGTGACCCAGGCTGGCTGAGGCTAAGGGTGGACAGCAGCGTCAGGGCCCTGTCAGGGTGCTGTCTCTCTCGCTCGCTCGCTCTCTGACTCTCTCTCCTCTGTTTCTCTTGCTCGTGAAAGAAATGAATAAGTAAACTTGAAAAAAATAAATGAATGAATGGAGGCCAGCAAATGGCATAGTGGTTACGTCACTGGACTCCCACATGGCCAACCACGGTTCAAGTCCCAGACCTGGTGGCTTGAAACTCATGCTGGTGCATGAGCGTGCGTGCCCAAGATCCTGAGAGAATAGAGGAGAGGGGACCTTGGTGTGGCCTTCCTCCCTGGGTGTGTGTGGGGGGATTTCTCACTTTCCCTCTCACTATCTCTGTCTCTCTAGTGAGTGCATGCACCCTAAGGCAAACACATCTACCAAAAAAGAAAGGAAGGAAGGAAAAGAAAATAAGGATGAATGAAGAAATTCTTTTGGAGTCAAACCAAATTTAAATCCTCATTCCCCTACTGGCTTATCGGTGTATCTTCTTCGAGCGACTTCCCATCTCTGAGCCTCAGTTTCCTCAGGTGTAAATGGAGTGACGATGCTTAGCTGGTGATGGTCAGGTGTGAAGAGACGAGTCCAATCTGCATCTCTCTCTGCTCAGGTCCCTGAGTGAGGCTCCCCTGGCACACAGTAGGTCTTCAGGAATAATGAATGAGTCTTAAGGGGTCTGAGTTTTAGGCCCCAGATCACCCGGTGTCCTTTCCTCCAGGACATCAGAAGGAATTGCTGACGTCAGCTCCCACGGAGGGTGAGAGGGGCCAGACACCTGTCCAGACCTTGTCCTCATCACAATGTCACCAGGGCTGGAGGGGCCACACCTCCCAGCTGACCTCCTCAGGAAGGACCTGGGGAGGAAGTCCCTGGGATGGGGTGGGGTGGGGGCAGTGTTGGGAGGACAGAAGATCAGTGAGCTCTCTCTAGGGGACAGAGGCGAGTTCACGACACCCCGCCTACCAGAGAAGAGGATCTCTGGGAGTCTGGGAGATCTTCCAGCTGGGCTTCAAACCCACTCTGCTGTGCACAGGGCAGAAACGGCACAGACTTTGCAGTCAGGCTTGGCATTGGCTTCACTTACTCAGTCCCCTGTCCCCAGCCAGGAAATGCATGCGTTGTCCACTCCCTAAGATCAGGTAGACTCTTGCACGTCGAAGACTCACGAGCTCAGAAGAACAATCTACTACTGTACGCGAAAGGGAATTCTCACGTCCTCACCCGGGACACAGGCCCCGGCATGAACAACGGAGGTCACATGACAAAACGATGTGGAATCGTCATGCTTCTTCAGCTGCTCTAGAAAGTGTCGGAGGCTCTGTTGGGGTGACCTGCTCATCCCAAACTCCCTCAGGATTACCCCATGAACGGTCCCAGCTCTTCCTCTCCAACTCTGCCTTCCAGAATAAAAGCGGCAGAGAATTCTCCTCTCCGTGCAGAGGCACCCTCGAACAGGGCCCCAGGAAAGGGCTCTCAGAATAATTGAATAATCCCAGACAAGTGTGAACGGCAGTCAAGAAGGCGAGTGGAGGAGGAGCCCAAGGTGAAATTTATTTCTGTCAACTGGTGGTCTATTTCCCTGATACCATTTCCTTGTATACAGATAAGGAGTTATCTTAAATGACCATGTCTTTTTCAATTTGTACTTAACAGTCAATCCCATTTTCCTTATACGATGCTATCACAGCTGGATGAAAAATGCATTCAATAATCCCTAAGGATCTTCATATATCAATATCAAATGGTCTGGAATTGACCTGTTATAAAATCCAGTCTTTTAAGCTAGCAAGAGACTAAATCAAAAAGAAGCAAATTTCAGTGCTCATGGTGTTTGGCGTAAGCCGAGTGCGCCAGCCCCGAAGCCCGTGTTTTCCAGGGCCTTAATGAGAACAAATGCTCAACATCTATTAAAAAACGAAAAATTACCTGCAAGATGTATCTGTATTATTGATACATCTGCCTAATGAATGGGGCTTCTCAGATGACCGGGCCTGGCAGGAATACTAATGAGCAGAAGGGAGTTAAGAAGATCCTCTCAAGTTCATAGGAA